AGTTGTGATAAAAGAGAATAGTTGATGTATTTTACGCATCCAAAAATAAGATGCATATTATGAAATATTTTTTTAATGTTGTCCAGAACAGTAATAATGATAGCTATATTTATATATGTAGCAAGCATCACTATTGAGAATAGCCTTTTGTAGATATTTGTTCTCTACTTATTTTATTGCCATTCAAAGATGGAATTATTTAGTACTTCAATTTGTTTTAAAAGTAACCTTTGTGAATGAATTCATGTCACTTCTGTGTGGAATTTAGTCAAACTAATTTTAGCTTGCAAATGGGTTGATATTGTTATGTGGCCTAGTTGTCTGTGATGAATAAAGACTAGACTTGGTGACCAGATTCCTACTGCTAATTTGGTTTTATAAGAAGATATTTTGGTAACTTCACTTAGTAGTGGGACTGATGCTCAATCTGCTTTTTACAGATTCTAAAACAGAGGCCGAGGTTTGTTGCACTAAAGAAGCAACCATCTTATATTGGAGGACATGAGAGTTTAGAGTTAAGAGATTATCAGTTAAATGGACTGAACTGGCTTGCTCACTCGTGGTGCAAGTAAGTATAGTCTTAAATTAGTCTTGCTGGTTTTAATTTGAAAACATTTATAATTGTTTGTTTGTTTGTTTGCTTTTTTTAGAGGGAATAGTTGTATTCTTGCAGATGAAATGGGTCTGGGTAAAACAATACAAACAATTTCTTTTCTGAACTACCTGTTTCACGAACATCAACTGTATGGGCCTTTCTTGCTAGTCGTGCCACTTTCTACCTTGACATCTTGGCAAAGAGAGATTCAAACTTGGGCTCCTCAGATGAATGCTGTGGTTTACTTAGGAGATATAACTAGCAGAAATATGGTGAGTATTTCTTTGTATCATTGAAAAATATAAGTGGTAAATAAGATTCATTTCATGTTCCTGTCTTATGATCATCTCCAATATTTTGATTAGGAATAAGAAAATACTTATTTGAAACATTTTCTGTGTTTAAAATTCAAATTAAAAGCACAATATAAATGTATGTGAAAGACTTTTTTTTTATTCCTGCTTAATAATAAAAAGGATTAAAAATGCAACCTTGCATTTGAAATTAAATTGTCTTTTGTCATTTGATTATTTAGGTGCATAGAATAAATATTTAAGCGATACAAACAAAATCTTAATTTGTTTTCTGAAAGGAAGAATGTAAGTAACCTTCTCCATTAAAGTTAAAAAACCCTCACACTAAAAAACAAAACCCACACACAGATGCAAAAACAATCCACAAAAATCAACCAAAAAAAAAAAGCAAACACCCTCCACCACCAATGTTTAATAACTTTAAAAAAAAAGTGCTTCACATGTTACATTCCTTTTTTGTGATCAGATTCTTGTATGTCGCTTAATATCTATATTGCTATAGTACCTGAATTCATCCCGATCAATAAGACCATTTTTCTCTATCCTATAGTTCACTTTATTTTTCTTGTAGATAAGAACTCATGAATGGATGCATCCACAGACCAAGCGATTAAAATTTAATATACTTCTAACAACTTATGAAATTTTACTCAAGGATAAGGTAATGACACTTACTTCTTCAGGGAGATAAAACCATTTGTAGAATGTAAAACTCCTTTAGAGTTGGCACATATTTGTGTTTTGGGCCATTAAATGGATGGGGAGTATGACAGCTTTACTCTTGGAAGTATGACTGAAGTTTTCTTTAAGCACTTTTAGATTTTATGTATGTGTGGTGAGGCTTTCTGCCCCCTCCCTTACCACCCCCCCCCCCCCCCCCCCCC